ACCCACAAAAGTAAGTAATTGGAGTCATCTGTTGTCAATCAATATATTTAATGTCTATTCTATTTCTGAAAATGAATACAAGTATTCAGTAGTCATTAATATTCTTCTCAGCTTATTGTAAAAACAATTAAGGAACCAAAACAAAGATGGATAATTACTAGCGGTAGGATCCAGGACTCGTGTTTCGTCATATTCGGGACTCGTCAGCTGGATGTATTTGCATCTCAGAATTGATGCTCACTCTAGGACTCACAGTATGCACATATGCTAATCAGTGACTAATCAATTGCAGTCCTAAATATCAATGGAAAGACTCAAGTAAACAATACCAATTGAATTGAAAGAGAGATTTAAGGAGATCAGATTACTTAATGATAACTGAATCATTAACTGATTTAAACTAGTCAGTCAACTAAGACCAAGAAACATTAAATAACTGTTTCATTTTAGCTTGTAGCTTATCGGGCATATGCACTCAAACAGCTTCCACAGTTCGAATCAGAATCTTTTTGGATTCATGATGGATCCATAACGTTTAAACTTCAGTTCTAATAATACGACGAAAAATGTTAAGAGCCACTTGGTTTTCACTAGTTATCCAGGTGAATTTAGTTTGTAATGTAAACTTTAAATTGAGTAATTTTGATCATAAGTTATACTTGTTCAACAGATCTCAATATATATTTCGTTTTTAGATGGCGGGTCCGTCACTCTCTGCTTATAATGTTTGTGAATTAAGATAATGTCGAAGAGATTCACCCAAGATGCACGTATACCAACAAGAGACTGATCACTTGTAGTCCCAAATGTCAATGGGAAGATTCAAACAACTCATGAAATATGAATTCTTTCATTTATAATGGTGGAATGATTGTAGAAATCAAAACCCTTCAAATAGTTAAACACAGAACTGTTTCGAAATTAAAGTTTTATAAATAGTGGCACGAACATTCAACTTTCGTTATTTCATACCTATGAAATAGAAGAATATATTTGTTATTCTTAAAAGCTTTCTATCTCACCAACATATACTGAACTAGACAAACTATGATTTTGAGATGATAGAGAAAATTTGTAACTCAGCTGAATGGTTTTGATCAAGTTTTGTTCTCTGAGCTTCAATTCTACTTGAAGTTTATGCTAATGATGTCGTTCAGAAGAACAATGAAAGCTCCACAACTAAACCAACCTGCTCAGAAAACAAAACTCCATTATAAACTATAGTTGGCAAACCTACAATAAACTTCAAGGACATGGATAATTTTAATTGAACACATGAAAATTTCACCAAAACATTCTGTTAATCCAATCATTTATTTATCTAACACAAAAAAAAGGGGAACACCGATGATCGCAAACCAAGATCATATTTTTATTATAACAAAAGTTATCGATTGATAATAAGGCATACAAAATAATGAAGCTTATATTATCCAAAACAAAAATTAATATCTCACCTAGCAATAAACAAAAATGGACTACTTAAGACCATATCTGGTAGATCTGGTTACAATCAGTAAATAAAATAATACAAAATGCAAGAGTTATTCATTAGTTTATAGCGAATTACATCGTTAGAGGAACATTTACGTTTTGAGTACATTATAGGATGAAACGCTCATCTTAGACTCTACTACTAACCACTATGCTTATGACTTAATGGGAATATTAAAACAATCATCTAAGGATGAACATATTCTACAGAGCAGCTTATCAACTGCAGTCTTAGACATCAATCGAAAAACTCACATAACCAAAACAAATGAATTAAACTTCACCACATTTCACGAGCCATTGGCTATGTGAACTCAATAACTAAGACGATAACGTAATAATATTAGAGGGGAACCATACTTGGTCCGAGTCTGGGAAAGTAAATGGACCCTAGTTACATCTAGATAAATCCTGTTGAAAATAGAACGAAACGTGTGTTCTGGGTTTTAATATTATTTATCATCCATCTCTAGTCCTAATAGACTGGTTTTGAAAATTTTTCATAGCATTTTTTCACAATTGTTGAATGATAAGCAACTTGATGTTTTTAAATAAATAATATTTTATGTTACGCGAGCATCCTAGCAGTTGAATAAATTCAATCGCCTCCGCTTAATTCACTTCTACAATCGTTATGCTGAATGAAACTTGGATAGTATTGTTGTTGAAAACATTAATAGGAAGGAGATAAGTATATATATTTTGTTAAATCCCAGACTAATTGTCTGGGGCCCGCACGACTATCGTTATCAATGGTTGTAGTCTGAGTGGTATGATTCATGATCGATCACAATGGCATAGGTGTATACACTTTATGCCTTCCAGTAAACCATCAGATTAAAATTCATTTATATTTTCTTTTCTATGAACTAATTCTTTCTTCCTGTATTATAACCTTATATGCAATCTTTGTTTTATACATTACTATCATTGAAGTGACTACTTTTATGAATTCGGTGTTCATCTTTTTGTGTTAATGAGTTAGGTATGACAACTTGAACCGATCAATATATATGTGCTTGATCCTATATTGTAGCTGACTGACTGACTGTTTAATCTCAATGAATAGACAAATTGTATTTCTGAAGAAGTGGCTTACATCACGTTATTATTAACTTTCTACCCAATGCTCAGTTTATTTGAAACTATCAAGTACAGCCTTGGCATCGATATCTAGAAATGCTTTTATGTTCCCTAGCAGTTTGCTGTAGAAATTTCGCTTAATGTACGAGTGTCTATAGATCCTAGTGACACTATTCATCTATGTATTTCGAATAATTTATGTTTATAGCTATCATAGTTAGTACCATACTTACCCCATCATTGTGCTTTGATATTATGTGTTGATCAAGAAAGTATCACTAATTTATGACTAGAGACTATACAGAAATCGATAGTAAAGTGACTTGGATATAATACAATCAAATTCAAATTGTTTATCATCCAAAATGCGGGAAAAACGAACTAGGAAATAGCGAACCCGTACAATAATGAATAACTTTAAATTGTTTTATCAACTAATAATAAATAAAGAAACTATTACATCAGTGTTATTTAGTAAAAACATAAAAAACTTCTATGTGGATATGTTGATCCTCTATTTTACAATCTTCCTTGACTATTAAGGGCATAATTCGTATAATCAATGGAAAACAGATCGACTAAAAGTCTGTTTTTTTAAATCAGGATCATGAGACCAGTACCACAGAGTTAACGTTATTTATTATCTATTGATATCGTTTTTTTTTCCCATCATTGCTATATGATGAAGGGGGAAGAGCTATTTAACTTCCATGAATGAATTCAATCATATTCAGTGATTTTCAGCTATTCTTCATAATACAAGAATGATCTGATAACAAATACATTACTGTGTTCATGTGAGCAGTGGATTTTTTGAAAATTCACCATTAAAAATATATTTCCCTCTTTAAACAAATGTGTATTTGCATTTGTTCACATTTGAAAAAGACTGAAATTCAATCGAAACCAAATAATTTACATCGATCAGTTAGTCAGTCAGTCAGCTACAATATAGGATCAAGCACATATATATTGATCGGTTCAAGTTGTCTTACCTAACTCATTAACACAAAAAGATGAACACCGAATCCACAAAAGTAGTCACTTCAATGATAGTAATGTATAAAACAAAGATTGCATATAAGGATATAATACAGGAAGAAAGAATTAGTTCATAGAAAGGAAAATATAAATGAATTTTAATCTGATGGTTTACTGGAAGGCATAAAGTGTATATACCTATGCCATTGTGATCGATTCTGAGACATGTCACCAAGAGTCTCCAACCATTGGTTATGATAGTCAAGTAGTCTACATCTCCCAACTTGACTCAGACCAGAAAGTAGTGACTTCGAGGGCTGATGCCACGTTTTGGTTTGGCCGCCCCTAACTTTCTTCCAGCCATCCACAACACTAGTCAGCATTGCGTTTTGTGGTAATCAACGTTTAGGCATACGTAACACGTGGCCCAACGACCTCAGTCTATGAAGATTCACAACTTCATAAACTAGTTTACCGTCATTCTCTAATACCTTGCGTCTAACCTCATTATTACTCACCCGGTGATCCCAGCAGATGTGAGCAATATTTCTGAGTCATCTGTGGTCAAATACTAGTAGCTTACGAGTACCTTCTACTCTTAATGGCCATGTTTCGCAGCCATAAAGTAGAACAGAACGAACTGCTGCTCAGTATACTCATTTGTTAATTAATAGACGGATATCTCACCTTCGCCATAGGTGACGTACGTTGACAAATGTCAGACGAGTTTTTTCACTCCATGCTGAGATTTCGTCAGACACCAATTCATTAGACCTGATCATACTTCCAAGATAAGTAAAGTTGTAGATGCATTCGACTGTTCATACGATTTGATCGCAGATAAATGTGTCATTCTTTTCCAAGATATTCTCACTTAACAATAATAATTAACATAAAACAATTCATAAATCATACCGCAATATAATTAGGAATAAAGAATTTTAATTTAATGTTCAAATACTAAACTAAATAAAAACTTATACCTTATCTAATTGTTCTTTCAAGGCTATAAAGTATTCACAGTGCAAGTTTACATTATATCCAATATTATATCTACATAGTTTGTTCACTGATATAAATTATATCATCATCATATCTTAATGCTTTATTCATCTATTCATACTATTGAGAAATATGACAATCAAAATATCAAACAAAATCTTTACAATTTTCAATTTATTTCTAATAATCAATCAATCAATCAATCAGTCAATTATTCAAATCTATGGAATATCTAGATAATACAGATCATCTAGATATTATTAATACAGATCAACATTATTCTTGGTTATATGACTGACTATCATCATCAAGAGTTAATAATAATAATCATAATAATTCACTGTAACATCTTACTTTCTATTCAATTTGGTTAAGTGGATCCTTGTCAGACACGATTATCGAATCTATAATAAAGGGAAATAAAGGGTAACATTATACACATGATGACAGTTATTGTATTATCATCATCATCATCATCATCATCATCATCATCATCATCATCATCATCATCATCATCATCATCATCATCATCATCATCATCATCATCATCATCATCATCATCATCATCATCATCATCATCATCATCATCATCATCATCATCATCATCATCATCATCATCATCATCATCATCATCATCATCATCATCATCATCATCATCATCATCATCATCATCATCATCATCATCATCATCATCATCATCATCATCATCATCATCATCATCATCATCATCATCATCATCATCATCATCATCATCATCATCATCATCATCATCATCATCATCATCATCATCATCATCATCATCATCATCATCATCATCATCATCATCATCATCATCATCATCATCATCATCATCATCATCATCATCATCATCATCATCATCATCATCATCATCATCATCATCATCATCATCATCATCATCATCATCATCATCATCATCATCATCATCATCATCATCATCATC